CCCGCCTCTGCTGCGGGTCCAGTCGCTTCTCGCCGGATTTCTTTGCTTTGCAGTCACTTTTAATAAGCTTTCATTTTTAGGTGCCCCATAGCGACCCATGGACGCCCCATAGAGCCCTGTAGAGCCCCCCAACATCTCCCATAGGGTGCCCCCCATTCCCATAGACACCCTGTAGACATCCCATAACGACCTACAGTGACCCATAGACACCCCATAGCGATCCAGAGATATCCTCTAGAGACCCTCTGCGACCTCTAGAGACCCTCCACGCCCCATAGATACTCAACAGTGACCCATGGACACCCCATAGACATCAAATAGCAACACACGGACATGCCATAGACTCTCCATAGTGACCCAGCGCAAGCCAAGCTCAAGCCTTGTGCTCGGGATCTCCCACCCAGAGTGAGACCTTATGGTTCGGGTGGTGTGAAAGGTGAGGGACACATCCAGAGGTGACCATGAGGGTGCAGGACCTGGAGCAGCTCCCTGGTTGGTGCTGTGAAGCAGAGGAGGATTCCCCCTTGTGCTGTGACATGGAAAAGTGGGATCGAGTGGAGGCTGCTTGGGTTCTTTGAACCTTTATCAGCTGCTTTTGGAGTGGTTAAGGAGGATTCCTCTCATGTGGGAGCGATTCGGTCGCTCCTTGACTTCAACTGGATGTCAGCACAAGGAAACCTCCTTTCCCTCAGCAGGTTTTAACGGGATCCCCCTCCCTTCCCTGCTCCGCACCTCGCCAAGGAGAATCCCTGTGGCTGAGAGGAGAAGTCACCGGGAAGGGGCTGCTGAGGGGTGGGAAGTGTTCCACCACGCTCCGGCTCCACGGGGCTCCATCCAAGGGTTGCATCAGAGACTCCTCAGCTCTGGGATTTGTGTCCACTCCTTGTTCTTGAACGAAGACCAAAAGCAAAGGTTAAAGCTCGTATTTTACTGGTCCTGTGATGGAAAAACCCTTCTGAGCCCCCCCCAAAAAGAGACATTTTGCCACTGGTTTGAATTCCTGACTTCCGGCTCCGGCAGCAGGTCCAGCAGAGGCTGGGAGTGCTTGGCGGGAGCAGGGAATGCTGCTCGTCTGGCTCCGGAGCAGCTCGGCTCCATGTGGAATCACTTACTCCTCTGTATTTAATATGCAAGGCAGATGTGCTGTGGTATCCACAGCTCCAGAGCCAGAAAGAGAGCTCGGGGCTGACGGGCAGAGCAGGCTCTGCGTCGTGTCAAGCAGGATGCAAAGAGAACAACGCTTCTTCAGCACCTTTCCCTGTGGTCATGGAATCCTGGAACTCTTTGGGAAGGGAGCTTAAAGCTCATCTAAAGCCATGGGCAGGGACACCTTCCACTGGAGCAGGTTGCTCCAAGCCCCTGTGTCCAACCTGGCCTTGAACACTGCCAGGGATGGGGTAGACCATCCAGTCGTCCTGCACTCTCGTGTTTCCTGCTCCAAATGGGATTAAAATCCTTCAGGATGCACGTGTCCCTGCTTCCTTAAGGGACCATCCTCACAAAGGTGACACCGACCAGCATTTAGGATGCTTGTTTCCCATCTTCTGCCTCTTCCCAAGGGTGAAAGTCATGGATCCAGAGCAAATTCAGCCTGAAGATTGGATTCCAGACTTGGGTTGAAGCTCTCAGCCAGGGCTTAGCTGCTCAGCACCACTCGGGCAGCCTTGCATTGAGGAGAGGGCAGATGCTCCCTGCTCCTCTCGGTGCCCTTTGCTCTCCAGCCCTAGAAATCCCATTATCCCAAAGCATTTGTGGAGTGTCCAGTAGATACTTTACTCTCTTTACAACATTCCTGCAGCCTCAAGTGTTGACTCCGGTCAAATCCCAACCCTTTTGGCCACATCTCAGCGGTCTGCCCTATTGCTCCAGTCACTACGGAAGCGCCCGGCCGGTGTCTGGCATAGAGAACCCCTCCTTTTGGCTTCTCCAGTCCACCTAAATGAACCCAAACTCCTAATTTCTCCCACTTTTCCCAGGAATTCCATGTGCCGGGAGGGTTTGTGTTGCTGCTTGTAGCTCAGCTCTTCCTGGGTGGTCTCCGCTGCACAGTCCCTGAAGCCATGAGCGACTCGGGCATTGTCTCCCCCAATCCACTGGGGATTATGTGCACGGCTGTCCCCGGGAAGGGAATCTGCCGGGATCGGTGGGAATCCCGTCGGGCTTCCTATAGGATGGGGCCGGACGCGGGCGAATCAACGCGGGGGTTTCAATCAGGTCCGACCCTGCTTCGCTCTGCACCACCCCCACCCCCCCAACCGCGCCGCTGAGTCCTAGAGCCCGACCGCAGGACTTAGAACCTGGAATGGGGAGGGCTGGCAGGGACCTTCTTCCCAATATTCCATCTAACTCTTCCCTCGGGCAGGTTCAAGCCGTTCCCCTCGTCCTGTCCCTCCATCCCTTGTCCAAAGCCCCTCTCCAGGTCTCCTGGAGCCCCTTCAGGCGCTGGAGCTGCTCTGAGGTCTCCCCTTAAGGAGCCTTCTCTTCTCCAGGGAGCTCCACGTCCCTCTTGTGCTGTTGCCCCAGAGCTGGGCTCGGGGATGGAAGTGGGGGGCTGGATCCCTGGGTCTGACCTCGATCCTCTCCCTGTGCCCTCAGTGAACGTCGTGGAGGCCCTCCAGGAGTTCTGGCAGATGAAGCAGTCGCGTGGAGCCGACCTGAAGAACGGAGCCCTCGTGGTGTACGAGATGGTCCCTTCCAACAGCCCCCCTTACGTCTGCTACGTCACCCTGCCGGGGGGCAGCTGCTTCGGCAGCTTCCAGGTACCTGGAGCTCAGGTCGGGCTGTCCCTGCTGCAGAGCTCGCTCCAGTGCAGTCACACTCAGGTCCCCACTGCCCTTAATGCTCCAGTAGCTTCCTGGGGGCAGCATCACCATTTTCCTGCTGGGAATGCCATGGGATCTGCCTATACCCCTCTTCTATTTCAAGCTGGCTCTTAAATGTTCCTTTAAACCCCCATCCAGCAGCAATTTGGGATGTTGTTACTTTGCTGGATGTAGCCCCGAAGCAGTTGGAGCTCAGCAGAGCTGGGGTGAGACCCGTGCTTGCTGGAGAACACCATTCGAGGGGCTGGTTTTGATCCCTCATTCTCCTTGCCAGGATTAGATCCTCCTTTCCAGTGGGCTCCATTTCCAAACCACTAAAGCACCATTCCCGTTTCACCCAGGAGCCCTTCCCAAAAGTGCCAAATGACTCGAGAAACCATTGGATTGATAGGAGGAGCAAAGGAAAGGGTCTGACCCAAAGGCCTCAGCCCGGAGATGAAGGGGCTGGTTTTGATCCCTCATTCTCCTTGCCAGGATTAGATCCTCCTTTCCAGTGGGCTCCATTTCCAAACCACTAAAGCACCATTCCCGTTTCACCCAGGAGCCCTTCCCAAAAGTGCCAAATGACTCGAGAAACCATTGGATTGATAGGAGGAGCAAAGGAAAGGGTCTGACCCAAAGGCCTCAGCCCGGAGATGAAGGTCC